ANATATATATATATATATATATATATATATATATATATATATATAATATTTATACATATAATTTATTAGATTTTTTATATTTTTTTAAGATTTTATTGTTTTAAATTTTTATTAATCTTATTTACATCTAAAGATATATAGTAAATCTTAATTAAATTTAATATACAAAAATATTTTATTTATATTCAATACACAATAAATAGATATTTTTTCTAAAACAATTATATTTCTTTATTGTCATATTTTTCTGAATTTTTCATAAAATGGTATCAATTGCAGTTATAATTTTTATTATGATTTTATCTTTAAACTAAAAAAAATATACTATTATTATTTAATAATCTTACTTTATATTTTTATTTGTGTTTCCACATACATAAACAATTATATATTTTTTTTTTATTTGTCTTTATTTTATTTTATTAGATTTTTAATTGTCAATTATGTTTTCGAATCTTAATTAATTTATTTTATATGTATTCATTAATATTTTTCTTTATTTTTTCTATATAAATTGTATTAATGTTGTTTATAAATTAATTAGTATTTTCAATTCTAAATTTATAGAACTTTTTTTATAAAATTATATTAATTTTCATTAAAGAAGATATTTTTATTTTTTAAATTATAATCTTTAAATAGTACAAATAATATATATTCGTAATACTTTTTCTTTTTATAGTTAAATAATTTATATAAAAATTACAAATAAATATTAGGAATAAAATTAGTATTTTATAATAATAATATAATTATATAAAAATTAAATAGTAAAATCTTTTTTTTTAATTCAATTACAAAGATAAGTATACTTTTTGTTATTTTTTTGCTATTTTTTTTCAGTTTATATATATATAGAAATTAAATAATAAAAAAAATCAATTAATTTCATCTTTAATAGTAAATATTATTTTATCTAAAATATTTAAACAATTTTTATGTCTTTTTAAATAATCTTCCCTATCTTCATCGATTCTTAATTATTATTAAAAAGCTCCATTAGCTTCTGCTTAACAAATAGATTTCCTACAAATATCAGCATATTTATTAAAATAACGTCTAAATTAACTTAACAAAAAAATAAAAAATAAAATAAAAAAAAATAAAAATAAAATATTCTTCTCCCTACTCTGATGTAATTGTTAATTTAAATAAAGGCTTAACAGGTGCATTTGGAAGTTCATCAGCAATTAAATTTATTAATTCGTTAAAAGGAAGATGATCAACAAACATCCTATTATTTATTAATAAATAATATATATAAAATGTTTATATATATTTAATTTATTTACATTTTATTACATTTATATAAATTTCTTTCTCTAATGTAAATTTTTTTTAGTGTTTCTGTCGGTGTTTAAAGCATAATCCTATTATTTTATTTTTATAAAAAAAATAAATAAAGACAAAGCAAAAAATTCTACTTTGCTCTTTCTAAATTAATTTAATATTTATTTTATTTCATAAACTCATTCTTCTTTTTGAAATAATTTGCTAATTATTTTTAATAATTTTCTCTTTATTTTGCTAAAATACATTCAATTAATCTTTTTTTTATTGCACTTTCTAAATAAACAGCGAGTTCTAATATTTATTAGCTATTAATAAAATTATTTTAAAAAAAATTTAATTTGATAGTCAAAACAGCCGGAAATATAACATCATTATGATGCATTGAATAAGGTAATAAAGTATCACCAAATGAAAAATTTGCTATTTATTCAACTTAACTATTTTTCTTTTTGGAACTCAAAGACTAGCATTCAGAACTAGAATCTGATTCAGAAGATATATTTTTTAAATTTTATTATTCCCCTTAATTTTTAAATAATTCATTTTTAGTTTAATTTGAACTATATTCTATTTTTTCTTTTTCATTACTTTATTGTATTTGTACTTTTCTATTATTTATTTTTTATTAATATATATATATATATTTATTTGCTATTTTTTTTTTTTTTTATTTCTTTTCTTATTAAAAATAAATAAATATACAATTCACCCAAAAGATTACTAAACATTGAATTATGTTATGCTTTTTTTTCTATAATTTACTAAAAATTTTTTTTTTTTTTTTCTTCTTATATAAGGACATTATTATAAGGTAAAAGTGGTGAAATTTAATTTTAATTTTTAGAATTTTTCATAAAATCTTCAAAGCTTATTATTTAAACATGGAAAGTTTAAAAATCATTAAGATTAATTTATTATTAATAAAAAATCTATTTTACTTTTTAAATTAAATTATTAATATCACTTTATTTTCTATTATGTAAATCATAACAGTTTTAGATAATGCTTGATTTTTCAATATTATTTTAAACAGAATAAGTACTAAAAAGCTTATAAAATTTTAAAATATATGACTCTTATAAATTTTCTTAATTTAATTATAGTATTTATTATTTTAAAAAGTTCAATATATGATTATCCCATATTTTACATAAAGCTTTCTTTATTATTATATTGTAAATATTGTCCATTACATAAACTTTTAAATAAAAACTGCTTAGTTTTTAATTCTATTTAATTTGAAAGTTATTTTTTTTAAAACTCTTTAAAATATTAAATGCATGATAATTAATTATCCTGCTTTTTGTTTTTTTTTATTTTCTAGATTTTTAAGGCAAATACTTATTAAATATTTAAGCATTTCAACTTATTTTACACTTAATGTTTTTATTCTTTTCTATATTTGATGTTAACGAACAGTTTTCTGTATTTTCTTTATATAATAAGTCTTAAAAAACACATTTTACTTGAATATATAAGCTATATATTTATAAATAAATCTATTATAATAAAATAAAAAATTAACCTTTATTTGCTAAATCTATAAAAGAAAAACAAATTAATTCCGTATTTAAATAAACTAACCAATTATTTAAAATCGAATTTTTATTATTTTAAGCTTTTTATTATTTTTCAACCATTTTTTGAAATTCCTTACTTTGATAATACTATTTCATTTTTCGTTCTTATTTTATTTATTTCCTTTATAAAAATTTAGTTTAAAAATTATAAATTTATATTCTAACTTATTCATTTCAATTATTTTTTTGTTTTATTTAGCTAAAATAGTTCTTTCTTATCTTATTAAAGACATATGATTGATACTTTGCATTTTTTAATCGATTAATTATTAATTAAATAGAAATTTAGATTTTTTTTATAAATCAATATTCTAACTTAATTATTTTGAATGCATAACTGAACTTATAGATGTTTATATAATTTTATTTATAGAATTCTATTATTTTAGTTAGTTATTTGTTATATTATTTAAATTAAATTAACTATTTTCCATTTAACATATAGATTATTTTACTTATTAATACTATTTTGTTTCTAAATTAATTTTATTTTATATATATATTTTTTTTTACTTTATTTCTTATATTTTATTCAATTTTATTTCGAGAATTAAAAAAAAGGTCTTCATTATTTTTTATACATTTTAAAAAATTTTCAGTTAAATTATATTTCATTTATTTTTATTTATATTCTTAATATAATATCATCTCTTCTTCTTATTTCTTTTTTTAAATTTCTTATTTTTTCCTTTCTATTTCTTCTTTTTCATTTTATTCTTTACTTAGTACAAGTTAAGCAATTTATTAATATAATTAATTCTCATCATCATCATTTTATATTAATCCGATCTATTATTCCTCTTAAAAATCCCTATTTTTATTATAATTTTAATATAAATAAACAAACAAACAAAAATACTTCATTATAATTGATAAATTTTAAGTAAATAAATCATTATTTTTCTATTCTTCCTCTTTTTTATTATCTTCTAAAAGTATTTTTTTAAAAGAACTTCTAGTAAACTTGACATTATCTAAACGATTATTTCCTAAAATCTAATCTTTTTTTTTTTATTAAAAAATAAATATAAACCAAAAAAAAAAAAACAAAAAAAAATACTTTTTGTTTAATTAACTTTAAAATTTGCTTAAATAATCTTTTTTTTAATAGTTTAAGATTCAAAATAATTATCCAATTTTAATTTATGTACTTTCTATTTTAATTCTAAAGATGGTTTAAACATATTATTTTAATCAGACGCTGGTTAATTAAACCTTATTTTATTTTATAAATCATTATATTTTTAAGAACTATTAATTTAGGACTAAGCTTATAAACCTGCTAATTTATCTACTTGTTCTACATAATATTTATTATTTTTTTTTTCATTAAAATCTTTCAATATCTTTATTTTTTCTTGTGCATTTTTTATTATTTATTCATAATTATTTCTCAAACTAATAAAATTATCTTTAAATTCGTTATCTTCTTCAAATATACCTACTGTGTATTTCTCACCACAACTAACATCAATACATTTTCCAATCATAAATTCTTCCACACAAATAGGTTAATGTTAGACTTTAGTAAAATTATACCCTAAACAATCATTCGAACTTTTTTTTAAATAAATAATATATAAAAAAATTATATATATAATATACTTAACACCCCAAGTGTATAAAAATCCATTATAATCAATTGCAGCATTATGATTTTAATAACTGGAAATTTTTACGATTTTAAAGATTACTTAAATAGTTTTATTTCCATAAAAATTACATATTAATTTTCTTGGAATAAAAAGAATCTAAAATTATAAGATTATTAATAAATAAATATAAATATATATATATATTTATATATATATATATAATAATAATTATATATATATATGCTTTTACTATTTTTTTCTATGTCTTAACGTTCAAAAGTCTAGCCCCAAGTATATAATTAGCCTTCTGAATTTATACACAAACTATATTAATCTCCACATGAAGCTTATATAATTTATTAGTTTTCTAATTATTTAATCTATTGTTTTTAATTTTTTTTGTTTAAATGCAAAATTCAAATTGATTTACTTATTAAGGACTACCTACCATATAATTGAATTTTCCTTAAAAGGTAGGATGTCCCAATTTCCCATATTTTCCACATCCCCAAGAATATAAAATTCCTAAATTATCCCATAATAAGCAATGATTAATTCCACATGCAACTCCTTTAATAATTGAATTCTTTTTAAATTATAAAATAATAATTATTTATTTTTTTAATTAATTATTACTTATAGATTAAAATTTATTTTTTATACATATTTAGTAAAAGTTTCTTTAAAATCCTTAATTCCTAATCTAGCTAATTTTAAAAATAAAACTAACATATATATTTTATAATTTACACATATTTTCTTTTCCAAAACTAAATAATTTATTTTAATCTAAAACAACAATAGATAGATTTTCACTACTTGAAACATATGTGAATTATATTTTTCTTTATTTTTTTGGTTTAATAAAAATAATAATAATAATAATTTGTATATTATATAAAAAATTAACTAATTTTCTTTAATATCAGAATGTTATTTAAATAGCTTTTTACTTATTTTTTGAGGTTATTATATATATATTTATTATATTATTTATCCTTATATATTAAAATATAATTAATTATCATTTATTTATTTATTTTTTTAAAAAAAAACCTACCCATACAACCATATTATGCATTACCCCATGAAAATAACTTACCATCACCTTTTATTTTTTTGTTATATATAACAAAAAAAAGAAAAACAAATTTTATATAAAATACATGTAATTCCCAATACATGTGTAGAATATGATGAAATTTGATCAAAATTTATATTTTTATAAATACTTAAATTAAAAGGTTATTTTAAAATAGTTTTCTATCTACCTAAACCTAATTAACCTTCATAACCATAGCCGAAAATCCATAATTAGCTTTTATTATCTAATAAAAATATAGTTCTTTTTGAACATTCTACTTTTTAAAAAATGAGATTTTTAAAATCTATTAATTTTGCTTTATCTATATAATCTTAAAACTACTATTTTTCTTCTGTACTATCAAATGCAAATAAATCTTTTGGATTAAATGATATCTTTTTAATTCTTTTTAAAAGAAAAAATTATCTTTTATTTTTTTAAATAAAAAAGAAAAGGAAAATAACATCTAGGATATATCTTCGAATGAATCAGGTCTTATTTTATCATTTCCAAAAAAAATTACTGAATTTTATTAAAAAATACTTTAGAAATAAAAAAAAAATTTTTTTTTTTTTCCAAATTACTTGATGACATTTTTTGATAAGAATTTTTAAAATATTATTTATATAAAAAAATAAAAAACTATTTATTTTTATAATTAATTAAAAAAAACATATATTAAAAAAAAAGAAAAACAATTTTTTTTTTAAAAAAAATTTCATATTTTGTTTTATTTTTTTTATAAATATTTTTTAAAATTTTATTATTTTTAATATTATTTAATTAAATCTTGATTTTTTTTTTATATATATATATTAAATGAATTTTATTACTTCGATAAAAGTAATTTATTTTAGAAAAAAATATATAAATTGTATGGATTTAAATGAAAACAAATATAAAAAACTTAATTATTTCATATAAAAATGCTTATTCTAAGGCTTATATTATTATCATTCATAAAATTCTTGATTATATTTATCTTTTAATCCCATTTAAATTTATTAGTATTTTTATATTCAATATCTTTTTAAAAATAATAATCCTCTATTACTTAATGTTTTTATTTATTTTTCTTAAAATATATATATATATTTGATATTTTTATTTTTATTTAAACTATAAAATTTAATAAATTTTCTTCCGAAAAATATTAGGAAAAATAATTTTAATCATCTTATATTGTTTATAAGACATCTTTCAACAAAACTCCATATTAAATTAACTTAATTCTATTATTAAAAATATTACTTATATTCAAAAAAATTAAAACTTAACTATTCAATATTTTTTATAAAACCATTTCATATAATATAAATTCTCATCAAATTATTAAATTTTATCTTTATAAATTTATATTTATATATTGAAACTAATAACTTTTAATAGTCAATTTTTTATATTTCACTATTTTTAATAAAAAGGAATTTAAAGTAAATATTTAATTTATAAATTTTTCAAAAATGAAGCAAAAAAAAAACAATATAGAAAAATATAATTTTTTTACATCTTATATAT